ATTCTAAGATCTTATCCTAATATTTATTTCATGGACTAACTCCCGCATTCGTGCATAATGTGGAAACCCTTGCTTATTTGGCACAACACTCGGGTGCCAGTGCGGCGGCCCTTACATAGTTTTCACTGTATTCGATTCATACTGTGTGTCACTTACAGGGGATGCCCTAACATTTGCATGAGAATTTAAAGGAGAATTTAAAGGATTCATGTCATGATTCATGTCATGTTTTTTTGACAAGTTTTACGCTTGCTGTCGACTACCTAATACAACCCTCAACTTTTCACACCCAGAGCTGAGACGCGACAAAGACAGTGTTATTTCATTAATACACTAACAATTTATAATTTAATTAATTATATTTTAAGAAGGTTAATAATACCTTTAATCTTATTTTGTAATTAAATTTGAATTAACGAAGAAAAGAAATTCCTTTCCTATTTTCTGTCTCAGCTTCCTCGTCAGAACTCCCTGAAAATTTCAACAAAATTAAGTCATTTTCATTTATTTACAATTAATAACTTAAAAGTTAAGTTCCTCTGCCTTTCCCTAAGCTATTCAAACCAAACAAGTATGGTTATTATTACGATATAGGGGATATATGAGATAAATTTTGAGATGAGTTTGGTTATGCGGAATGATCTCGTTACTTTAAAGCTATGGGAGGAGATAGTACAATCACATGCTATAGATGTTTAACCAGGTCTCCTCGCAGGCAATTTTATTCTTTTCTGCCTTGTAAATGGACCTCCTTTTCTCCTTCCCTTGAAATCGAGAAATCAATTATGATGTTTGAGATAGTTTTTTTCATTCAAATAGTAGTTTAATGTATATTTTATAATATATCTGTTGGATTTAAATTGTTTCTTTTAAATTCAAGAGGACCTAAGAGCAGTCTATGCACATAATATTGCTGTTGTCTTTGACGAGAAAGCTATGGTTCAATTTTTTTAAAAAAAAAGAAGGGAAAAGATGTAGCAATATGGAGATGAAGTTGCAGGTTTACGACAATGTAACAATTAATGGTACAACAATGATAAATTTTTGCAATGATGCAATGATAAAAGTTGCAATTATTACAAGTAGGAGAGTTTAGGGCTTTGTGATAATGCAATAATGAAGGCTACAAGACTGTGCTAATGCACTAATGAAAACTGTGAAAATGAAATAAAATAAAAGAAGAAGATTGGGGCCCTGATACTTTAATAATAATTGGAGTGGCATAAGAGCAGAATTGCAAGTCCCGTGTATTTGGGATTAGAATCGGGACGAGATTTTCATCTTGTGGGACCCAAACCGGGAAAATGCCTGGTTATTGTGGCAGGTTCTATGGGCCTTTATTTATTATATTTTGATTTTTAATTAAGGTTTAATATGTCTTAATATAAATATGTTTTTTTAACTTGATGGGAGCACTTCTGCAATGATTTATGGTATTTGGAAATTTTTTTTATCTATTTTCTCCAATTTGAAGATTCGTGGCTTATTTCTCTTAAATGGTGAATATGTATTTTGAAGAGAACATGTGATGGATGCTCCTTCGGTAGACTGTTTACAAACACCTTTAATCCCATTCCTCAATTTCGCATATACCCTTTTCCTCTTGTTTTTTTGCAACCTCTCCCCACTCAATCCATTCCTTAAACACCATCTAGGAATTCTAGAATGGTGTCATTTAAGTAGTAGAGCCAACTTTTATTCACAATTTTTGACATTAACCTTAAACTTTTAAAATCTAACCTTCCTAGCTCTAGAAATATGTCTCTACACCTACCGCCTAAACATAAACGCTCGGCCAGCCTTATATCAATAATTTTACAGTAGCTGACGCTCAAATGAGAAGCAAGTCGTTATACTGCCATAGAGAATGCCTCCATGAGGTGCTCAAGAGCTTATCATAGAGGATATGCAGCTAAAAATCCTCTAATTGAAAGAGGCTTGTTGATTTTGAAAAGAGGCAATACGAGGAATTCTCCCAAAGCAATAACTATGATCACCTGGATGTAAGAGTAATGAAAACTCCTTTTACCAAGTTTTAAGCTACAAAGTTTGGATGCAATGTCGGTTTGGTATTGAGTATAGAAGGAGAGGGTAATTTTGGAGTGAAGGTTGAGTTGCTTGATTTTGATGGTCTTATGGGTCTGAACGAGTTCATTGAGTGACTCGAACGAGTCTTTGAATATAAAATCATTTCAATTAATAGAAGGCTAAAGGTAGCTATCATCAAATTAAATAGGGGTGTTCCTCTGTGGAAGAATTTGAAATGTGTAGTAAAAATGGTAGACACACCTTATGGGTTAAATTTCACTCTTTTTTTTATGCTCAAGCACAAGCAGAGAGTCAAGATTGAGCTATTGATGCATTGAGTTGTTACTTATTAATCACTATTATCAAAGTACTTGAAGTGTTGAAGGATTTGTATACCGTTGACAATGATTTTTGGGAGATTTGGTTTCGTTATTGGGTTAGAGTATACGAACAATTCCATAGATTAGATGATGATTTGTGTTACAGAATATTTTGTATATTTCTTAGAATTCATTAAGAAGGAATATCTTATGTGAGTGTAATAATAGATGGTTGACCGAATGTTTAGGCAAAGGCCAGGCAATTTTCTCTGTGAGAGAATTTTTATTGGTCTAGGTTGGTATGAAATATGGAGTAGCATGTTAGTCATTGCAGAGTATGTCAATTTGCTAAGACTCAGGAATAAAATAAATTTATATACTCAAATTTGCATCTAGGGGTTGCCTTGGTTGACGTAAGCTTGAATTTTGTGGTGTATTTTCCCTAGACACAACGGAGTTATGATTCTGCTATGGTAGTAGTAGACCAATTCTCTAAGTTGATATACTTTGTATTTTCCCACAAGACGATGGACGCACCACACATTGCATAGAGATAATTTTATGGATTAAGTTGGGCGAAAACTCCAGTTCGGTTTAGTAGAATACCCACAGATAAATGGACAAACAAAAGTGATGAATTGTAGTTTAGGCAATCTACGATTGCATGTTGGTAATGATTTCAGAGAATAAGATTTATTTTTTCTCAGGTCGGGTTTGCTTTGTTTCACTAGTTAATCCATAGGTTATAATCCCTTTATGGTTGTATACGGGCGGAATGCTCTCACAAGTTTTGTGCTAGTTTCCATCACTATATGCTATTGAACTTAGTGTGAATGTAGAGGTTAGACTCAGAGAAATTCAAACCATTCATGAACATGTGAGGGAGAAAATTGTCAAGCAAATAATCAATTATCAGAAGGCTATTAAGTCCAAAAAATTCTATATCTTTAATGAATGTGACTTGGTGTGAATTAGATTGATAAAAGAGACGTTTATTACCTGTTCTTTTGGAATGCTCAAATCTTGAGTTTATGGCTCATTCAAATTTACCAAAAGAATAATGATAATGCCTGCAAGGTTGGTTTACTGGGGGATTTTAATCTCTCCCCCACATTTAATATTGATTCTATGTCACTACACCACGAGGATTCGGCTGCTTCCAAAGAAGTCAATCCCTCTTTTAGCCGAGTGGTGCGGGGGCGGAACCCGCTATCCTGCATGCATGGGATTGAAATTTTGACAGCATTTCCATCTCGTGAGATCCGAGATGGGAAACTTTATGCCCGAGACACTTTTTTTATGTGTTTTTCTTTTCTTTTTGGTGTGCTATAGCTTATTTTTCTTCAAGTGGTGAATTTGTATATGGAAGAGAACAAGTGTTGAATCTTCCCTCTGCTGCCGCACCTCACCAAAATCATTGTTTTGTCATCCTCAATGTCGTTTTAGGCTTGGACAACTGTCGAACTCCTTTAAACCCTTCCAAACCCCATTGACTTTGCGAATCCCTTTTTCTCTTGATATCCCACAACCTCTCCCCTTTAAATCAGATCTTAAACACCTTTTAAAAATCCTGGAATGTGACTTGGAGAGAATTTGTTGCATCCTTTATTTCGAAATTTATGTAATATTTATCAATCCTAGAGAGCTTCTAATATAAAACAAGTAAAATAGGGAATAATAACTGTATAATACTTATAATATCATTGCGATTGTTGAGATGGCATCAAGGATCCCGTGGATTCATGAAATTGATTTGAAAAGGAAAATAGAGCAAGTTGGGATCCTCGGTGGTTTGGCTTGGAAGGTTGCACTAGCAGTGGGCTTGGTGCAGGTGCGAGGCATATAGAACCAACACGTGAGGATTTTGGTTGGGCTGGAAGGTAGGGGTTTTTGCACAGCTTTCTATTTGATGCTGCAAATTTTTCTAAAAAAAATCAATTTAAACAGAAGAAAAATATTTTCAAATTGAAGGCCATCATTTTGTCTAACCGTCCAACATCTTTCATAAATTATAATCCTATTGCATCTAATTCTGTACATTGGGAGTTGGTGTAATGGTCGCCAATTAATAATTAAAAATTTGTATATAACCTAAATTTTATTATTTTATGAGAAAACATTCCTATGATATAGTATAATTTTATGCTTATGGATGTCTACTTTTCTTTTACTGTAATCCTACCTGTATGTCTTCTAACCGTCCAACATCTTTCATAAATTATAATCCTATTGCATCTAATTATGTACACTGGGAGTTGGTGTATTGGTCGCCAATTAATAATTAAAAATTTTGAACAATTAACCTAAAATTTATTATTTTATGAGAAAACATTCCTATGCTATAGTATAATTTCATGCTTATGGATGTCTACTTTTCTTTTACTGTAATCCTGTATGTCTTCTAACCGTCCAACATCTTTCATAAATTATAATCCTATTGCATCTAATTCTGTACACTGGGGTGTATTGGTCGCCAATTAATAATTAAAAATTTTGAACAATTAACCTAAAATTTATTATTTTATGAGAAAACATTCCTATGCTATAGTATAATTTCATGCTTATGGATGTCTACTTTTCTTTTACTGTAATCCTACCTGTATGTCTTCCGCATGCTTCTTAATTTAAAATTCTCGTATTTTAAACATCCAGTGTTGGCGAGCAGCATCTATGTCAGGGCACAGCTTGGATCGTTGTGGATCTCTTTCAGTTGCAAAGAAACAACTTAAATTTGAATGTACTGATCAGGAGGCTTATTCTGTGTATTCAAAGTTGCAGATATTGGAGGAAAAGTTTCCATGCCAAACAGGTGCTTTGGAGACTTTGAGCGTAGAAAACATTCCGGATAACCAATCGCCTTCAAAAATAGTAAATGATGTAAGAGAAGCTTCAGATTGGAGGGATATGGATACAGAAGCAAATGGCAATTTGACTGCAGGAGTGGCCGATGAGTTTCACTTTGGTGACAAGGCCTCTAAACAGCTAATATCACTGCAAGGTCATCCAATTGGTGAAAGCCTCCCGGACTTTGGATCTTATAATGAAAATCCTTTTAAAAATCAAATTGATGTTATTGACGAAGTCTTTTTGAAAAGATCAAAAGATCTTACTCAGAGGCAGCTAGCTGAATTATGTAATTTTCATAAACAGATGAATAAGAACAAGTTGAAGTTGGAAGAAACTCATGAACTTGATTTGAAACTTATTCGCTCCATACATATTGATGAGAGAATCAGAAAAGACAAAATAAATATTTTGCGTCAGGAATTCTCTAATAAGTTGGGCAGGTTTGATCAGCACCGTAAACAACAAAAGCAAAAACTTTTGTCCATGCAGCTCGATATGCTAAAAAAAGAAGAGCTAAAGTCTAAAACTGGTGTGATGGATGAATCCGTGGATGCTATTCCTAGGTCTGAAAGTGGATTCAGGCTAGAAAACTTTTTAGAGACTAGTGAATTAACTACTAATTACAGAAAAACTGGAGCTACAATTTTTGATTTCACATGCCCTTCTGATGGGACAATCATTGGATATGAAGGTTGTCTTGAAGTTCCATCAAATATTTTGAACGAACAGGAGGAAAATGATAGACCGGGAGATGACACGCTGGCTTCTTGTACTTTAGCTACAGGTGATGATTTGGAACAAATTGTGCAAAATAGATTGTCTGCGGCAACAGCAAATTGTCCTGGGCTGTCAGATGTGCTACCCATGAATTCTGGGATTTCAGCTCCTCAATCTGAAGTGTTCAAACCATTCAGTAGGTTAGAACGTTTCAATTTTAATCAACAGGAATGTTGGGCCGATTCAAATGTACAACTGGTGCCTGACCCAGAACCAAAGCAGACTGTACTTCTTTCCCCGGTGCAAGGGTTAACAAGTTATGTGCCTGCAAGTACTCTGTCCTCAACGCAGGTATGGCTTTTATCATTCTGTGGGAGCTTCTGCAGCAGTTCTTATTGTATGCATCATTTAAGATATTTTCATTTGAAATTGCAGAAATTCCTGCAGTTTTAGTTTTAATGCTGATAATTGTAATTTTTAGTTGGGGCATTTACATACATACCGCCTAATTCATGTGTATTTACATATCGAACATCTAAACTTTAATCTTTTACATTTATACCACCCCATATTTTAATATCACATCAAGAATGCCATATTTTTTAACTTTTGAAATGTGAAATACACCTTTTCATGCATAGATAAGTTGGTGTGTATGCAAAAATTGAATTTTAGGTATTAGACATGTAAATGCATAGGAATTGAGCGGTATGTATGTAAAACTTTCTTTTTTGTTTTTCTATTGACAGTTAATTAAATCTCTATTTTAGTTCAACTTGTTGGTTGTGTTGTATAAATTTGAAACTTTTATGGTTCATTTCATGATTCCTCATGTGTAATAGTTTGTTAGTTATTTAAGGCTTATTTGAGTTCTGCAATTTTCAATTAAATATACAAAATTTCATTATGAAATTCGGAGTGGAAAGGTGTGTTTTTGATACAGCAATCAATGATAGGATTCTTCTAGGATTTGTACATAGGGAAGTGTAAAGTTTTGGGAGATGAAAACAACTTGTTATTTTAGTCATGGCCTGAAGAGTTGGGATTCTTGTAATTCATGCATGATTTTCCATATTATATTGAGGTTTTGGCCTATAGCTTTTGGTTCTGAATGAAAAAATTGTTGAAGTGTGGAAATCGCTGCAAAATGATACCGGAAATGGCTGCTATACTCCAAGAATTTTGACGGTCTATTTAGCTGATTCAACTGCTTTTTAGCTTCACTATTTTATGGCTAATGGAACCCATGCTATTGTGTACCTTTTCATTTTTCATTTTCTTGTAGTTGTTGGGTTAAAGGGGTTGTGTGTCTTTCCTTTCCAATCCCTACTATCGTTTTTTCTAATTTCTTCGTAAGTTTTTAACATTTTTAAAACTAAGAATTGTGATGAGGTTTATTTAATAAATCTCTGATGAGTAAATTCATCTTAGTATTGTATATTTAATGTGCTGTAAGCAATTATAGAGTTTTTAGCAGATCAGTCTTTGATGTTTGAGATAACATTTTCCTTGTCAAAATTGTCCCTTCATGCAAACGTGAAGGGTTTGATACCGTAGTTAACCCAAATCGCAACAGAATGAAAACATTATTGCTGAAATTTAGAGGGGTTACAAGCAAGTCTCTTAAAACAGGAACAAAATGACACAAACGCAAAACATGCCCTAGGGTGAGGACGAGAATGGTCGGCTGCAGCTGAACAAGTAGGGAAGGATACGGAGGAGCGACAGCGGGCAGATGGGCTATGGGGAGGCGTGGCAAACACAAAACATGCCCTAGGGTGAGGACGAGAATGGTGGGCTGCGGCTGAACAAGTAGGGAAGGATACAGAGGAGCGACAGCGGGCAGATGGGTTGCGGGGAGGGGTGGCAGCAGCAGCAGGTGACTGGACAGCAACATCGGTGCTAGGGAGTGGACGGTAGCTGGTTGGGACAGCGCTGGGCGGTGCAGGGAGTGATGCTAATAGCAGGAAGAGGGTGCAGGGAAGGTGCGTAGCAAGCAGACAAGGGGAATAGGGAAGGAAATATGGAGATAAACACCACCTCGGTGCAGGATACAGCCGAAGCATCACATGCGCTCAGATACAAATCTAGCAAGAGAGAGAGACGTCGACGGCTGAAATCTGAAAGGAAAAACAAATCCCTAACAAAGAGAATAACATATATATAGTAGTAGATAACTAGGAGGTGGGGCGACCTCTCCTTTTAGGCGGCAACCCTAACCTAGCCAATTGGGTTGGTTGGCCCCTCTGCATCCTTTGTTGTACCATTCCATGGTTTAGTTGCTGGTTCAGCCCAAGATAGCCCCCGCGTCAGTCTCCTTGAGTTGGGAGAGACTCAACCTTTTTTATCAAAGTTTCTAGTTCTTCGTAGTACAGAGTCACATTTGTTATGTTGAAAGTATTTGTAGTCCCCTGGTAGGCAAATCTTATAAGTGTTGTCATTCACTTTTTTGAGAATCCTGTAAAGCTCATCTGTTCTGAGCTTGAGTTTGCCAACAACTTCCACCGGCAACTGAATTCACACTACGTTTCTTTCTTGAAAAGTCATCTTTCTTTAAGTCTTATTTTCCTTTGTTTGGTACTTTCAATTCTACTTGATGATCACCTTTCCTTACCTCCTGTCGCTTTTGAATCTCTTGTAATATCTTCTTAGCATTCTCACCAATCTTTGATGTCGGAAGTAGTACTATGTCAAGTGTCAAGTGGATTGAGAGGGTTGCGCCTGTACACAATCTCAAATGAGTGCTCCATGGTCTCACTCATGGACTTGTTGTAAGAAAATTTGGCTTGAGTTAAAATCAAATCTCACTAATTAATATTTTTTCCCACAAAGCACTTCAGAAGGCTCTCCAAACTTTTGTTCACAGCCTTCGTCTAACCATAAGTTGAAGCTTAGTGCCAAGCTTGCCTATAATGTCCTGTAGAAATGATTTTGAAACTTGACATTGTGTCGAAATTAATGGTCCTGGGTATTCCGTGTAGTCTCATGATTTCTTTGAAGTATAAATCAACGATATGTGATGCATCCTGCGTAGGTTGATAGAATATGAAATGTGTCATTTTCGAGAATCTATCCACTACAAGTATTACTGAATCCTTGTTTCTTTGCATTTTCGGGTGACCCACCACGAAATCCTTGCTAACTTGCACCCACGAAGCCTTCAATATGGGTAATAGAGGGTATAGTCTTACTTTCCGTTTTTTGGTTTTGGCCAAATGAAAAATTTGGCATTGTCTGATGTATTACTTCACATCTCTCATCAGTCGGGACTAAAAACAGTGTTCTTTTACGAGTTCTAAAGGCTTATCCTTCCTGAAGTGTCGTGCAAGTCCTCCACTGTGACTTTCCTAAATAATGGGCTCTCAGCGAATATCTAGGGATATATAACTTATTCTAGTGGAATAGGTAACCATCAACCCTGTGATAGTACTCGATAGGCTTCTCCTCATACTGCTCTCAGGTTCCTGTGAAATTTTCATTTGTTCAGTCCAACTCCTTCACTACCTCAAAACCTACGACTCAAGTTTGTATAGAAGTGATCATCAAGTGATAGTGACTTAGTGCATCTGCTACTCGATTCTAGCTTCCCATCTTGTGTTTATGTACGAACTGAAATGACACCAAGAACTCTACCCAGGACGCGGGTTTGCCCTTCAGTTTGTTCTGACTGTTCAAGAACTTCAAAGCCTTATGATCCTTGAATAAGGTGAAACCTTTTGTCAGTAGGTAGTGACTCTAGTGATTAAGAGCTCCACGATTGCATAGAACTGTTGATCACTGGAGTCATTCAACTTTTCACTGAAGAATGCTATTGGGTGGCCTTGTTGGCATAACACTGTTCCGATTTTCACATTGGAGCTGCCACACTCCAGCTTGAACAACAGATTGAAGTCTGGTAGTGCCAATATCAGTGCCTGAGTCACCTTCTCCTTTAGTGTATCGATACTAACCTAAGCGGAGCTGCCACACTCCAGCTTGAACAACAGATTGAATTCTGGTAGTGCCAATATCAGTGCCTGAGTCATCTTCTCCTTTAGTGTATCGATACTAACCTAAGTTACATGTGTCCACTAGAATCTCTTCATTTTTAATAGTTTGGTCAGGGGAGTTGTGATAATGTTGAATCTCTCCATGAATTGTCCATAGCTTAATGCTAGCCCTAAAAAGTGTCTCAACTCGGTAAAAAATTGAGGTGGTGCTCAACTCACAATGGCTTTGATCTTTATGGAATCCATTTAAATGCTTGCACTAGAAATGATATAGCCCAAAACACATACATGTGCTGTTAGGAAATGACACTTCTTTGGATGGATGTATAGCCTCTTTGATTGCAAAAGCTCAAAGACTGTGCTTAGGTACTGTAAGTGCTCCTCAAATCTGTTGTATACCAAAATATCATCAAAATACACCACTACAAAGTTCCTGATGCAAGCTCGGAACACTTGGTTCATCAATCTCATGAACGCGTTGGGCACATTAAATAATTCGAAAGGCATGACTGTCCACTCGTATAATCCATTCTGGGTCTTGAAAGCAATCTTCCACCTATCTTCTGGTCTCATCTGGATTTGGCTTTATTCGTTGTATAAGTCGATCTTGGAAAAGACAATGGCTATTGGCAACTAATCCAAGAGATTGTCCAGTCGAGGCATCAAGAAACTGTACTTGATAGTAATCTTGTCAATAGCTTGATTGTCAATGCACATTCTCAATGATCCGTCTTTCTTAGGTACCATCAAGGCGGGAACAACGCATGGGCTAGGACTCTGTCTGACTAAATGTTTCGCAATGAGTTCATGTACCTGTCACTATAATTTCTCATAATCTGAAGGTCTAAGTCTATGGGTAGACTGATTTGGCAATACTAATCCGGATATGATTTATGGTTTGTTAAATGTCCTTTAGTAGCGGCAATCCCTTTGGAAGGTTGTCGGTCATCACGTCCAAAAAGTCACACAACAATGGTTGTATGGGCGTCGGTATCTCAACCTCATACTCAATCCCTTTTAACAGGACCAAATCCATTCGCACTGACTCCATGAAGGTGGTTCATGGGAGTATCGTCTACTATGTGATGTTCACCCCTCTCGCATCCTTAATTGGAGAACATGTGTCTTCCATCCTTTTTGAATGTAGAAGGGTTCTTGAAACTGTCGTGTTGAATCTTGCAGTTGAACTATCATGGCCTTCCCAACAAAATCTGAATAGCGTCTATAGGTACCTTGTCGCACTACATCTGCTCCTATAGCTGATCTTCGATAGAAAACTCAACCAAGCACTGTTGATCCACATGAATCTCTTTTCTCATTTTTAACTAGGTAAGGGAACAGGATTGAAAATGTTTCTGTGTGGTCAACTCCAGTTTCTTCACCATCATAGTGGATACTACATTCTCACAGTTCACACCATCAATAATCAGACTAGTCTTTCTCTTCACGATACACTTGGTGCAAAAAATATTTTGTCTTAGCCACAATTGATCCCTATTTTGCTTAGTCTAAATGACCCTCCTTATGACTAGCATTCATCGCTTTTAAGTTGGATTTCCTCTAGGTCGTCCTCTTTTTCATCCTCATCCACTTCCTCCACGACGCCCTGCTCCGTGAACGAAACAACTTGGCTCGTGGGATTAATGGAGGTTGTGTGCTCGTAGTCATGACACTTAAATCATCTCCTCACAGGCACTATACTGGGCAATTATCCTTTTGGGGTTTCTTTCCACTCAGAGCTTTCTAGTCACTTCCCTGTTTGATCTTCCTAACTCCTGCAGGTGTGGCCTTATTGGCATCTACAATTGTAGTTGGTTGCCTAAATAAGGTTGTTGTCTGCTTTGTCTCTGTTACCTTTCCACCTTTAAAGCTAAGCTATGGACATCTTCCAGTGACCAATAGGGTCATAGTTGCGAAAAATTACTGGTAGGGGGCTTTAGGCTTCCCAGATATTTGGCTATGGTATGTTCCTCTGGCTCGACCAACTTATTTCATCTGCAACTGATCAAATCGTTCTATGAACTCCTCCATTGATAGGTCTCACTGTTGTTGGTGATGATATCTAAAAAATATATCCTGGGTGTAATGGGGTGGTAGGTATTTTCTCTGCATTTCTTTCTCATCTTCTCCTACCTTGTAATTGTCATTGCCTTCTCTCTCTTATTGCCTCTGTAATTTTCCCACCACAGGGAAGTGCTCTTCTCAAATTTGATGGCTGCAAGCTTCACCCTTTTATCTTATAGCACTTATGTGTATTCAAAGATTCTCTGAAATGACTGCAGTCATTCGATGAAATCATTTGGATCCATACCTCCATCGAATTCTAGGAGATTCATTTTTATTCTGTAATATCTATCCTCCATATGTTGGCTCCTCTTTTAGCCTCCTTTGATAATGAATTCCGAAGCGTCTTGGTTTGTACTCCTCACTGAAGTTCTTCCTATGGAAGGGATTCAAATCCTCGTCCTTTTCTTCCATTCGACCTCCTAACCACCATCGAGGGTAATTTCCTTTGGGCTCCCGACATCAATCCCTGGAAGTATTTGCTAAAATTGATGGATTTCTCGCTATATAGAGTCCTTGGTAGGTTCCGACATGTGTCTCCTTGTGGCATGATTAAGGTCTAAGAATTGGTAGAAGGTATTTGAGGATAGGGAAGAAAATTTTTTGTGGGGATGGCATGGGTATGGCGGATGCTAGGAAACCTTAAGATAGGACTTGGATTTCGTTAGCTTTGATACCAATTGATATCAGAGTTAACCCAAACAGAGTAAGAAAATAAAAATATTTTTGTTGAAATTTTGAGGGGTTACAACAAAGACTCAAAACAGGAACAAAATGACATAAATATAAGCGACATCCTAGGGCGATGACGAGAATGGTGGGCTGCGGCTGGACGAAAAGTAGGGAAGGGTATGGAGGTGCGGAAGCATTTGGGCTATGGGGAGGCGTGGCAGTAGCACTAGGTGACTGGACTGCAGGATGTGGTGCTAAGGAGTGGGTGGCATGGGGAGGCGTGGCAGTAGCACTAGGTGACTGGACCGCAGGATGTGGTGCTAAGGAGTGGGCGGCAACAGGTTGGGATAGCACTGGGTGGCGGGATAGCACTGGGTGGCAGGATAGCAGGTTGCGGTGTAGGGAGTGGCGGTGATAGCATGAAGGGGGCATGGGTAAGGCACAGAAGGAAGCAAGCAAGCAAGGGGAATAGGGAAAGGGGAAAGAAATATGAAGATAATCACAATCTCAGAACAGGATACTGCAGGAGTATCATCTGTCCTTGAATACAACCCTAACAAGGGAGAAAGACATTGTCGGTGGAAATCTGAAAAGCAAAAACTGAACCCTAACAAAGAGAATAACATATATATAGTAGTAGATAATTAGGGGAAACCCTTCTCCTTGGGCCGCAACGCTTACCCAACCAAGTGGGCCAAAAGGTCTCCCTGCATCTCTAGCTGAACCGGTCCAAGTTTCAACCGCTTGTTCAGCCCCTGCATCCCAAGCTGAACCGTTCCAAGGTTCAGCCGCTGCTTCAGCCCAAGATAGCCCCTGCGTCGGGGTTTCTATATTTATTTTCTTATCAAAGAGCTCTAGCTCAAGTAATATGCACCTTGGATATCAGGGTAGTGGTCAGCGATTCAAATTCAGCATATAACATTCTTAATATGTAAATATTTGAGTGGCTCCTTGTGTGGAATTTAATTAATAACTGACATTGTGCCCTTTTTTAGTTGACCTCATTTTTATCTATAACTAGAGTGCTTTATTTTCATTAAGCAAATATTTGGGATAGATTTCTACTCTTTAAAAAAACATTTATGACTATGATTATGCAGACATTCTAGCAAGTTTCTACAAGATTTTTTTTCATGAATTCAGCAAATTTGGAATTGGCTGAAACTATGTGCTTTTAAAAATGTTGAAGAAAACATTTTCGCAACTTAATATATGACCCTATTGGTATTTAGTGGAGAGGTGTTGAGGGAATAATAGTTGTGTCCATATTTAGGGGAAGGGGAAAGGGAAAAGTAGTTCTGTCCATATTCTCACTTCTCCATTTTTTAATATTTGGGGAGTCATATCTTATAGGAAAATTTATAATAAAGTGGTTCTTAATTCTGATTTCACACTCTTAGGGATTATGTACCAATAAGCATACAAGACCTGCTGAGGCTCTTACCAATGACAATAATCATGACACGGATTCTGCCCAAGAGGTCACTGTTACAGCTTCAGATTCAGTTGTTAACCTATCACCTCATATTGAGATGATGACTTGTAATGACGTGGCACGATCATACTCTACCAATATTCCATTACCTCAAGCCGAGCATGAACAAGAAAGGCTTCCACCAACAGGAAACCAAGAAGCGACTCCCCAGCCACATCATTCTGTTGAACTGTCTGAAATTCCAGCTCAACAGGAAACCATGAATTTAGCTATTGAAAGTGATCCATCTAACAGTCAGATTCCAGAGAATGCCATTCAACCATTGAGACCCCAGGAGTATCTTCCATCAGAAGGAATAGCCTCTGAACATCTTGGAAACACTGTTATCCAGTACGGCAGGGCTTGTGATTGGTCACATTCTTCTACTCAACAGGCTGAAGTTATGGTTCAAGCTGCAGTTTCTGAAGGCGAGCCATCTATCCAGCAGATCCCTGATCCTATGAGAGCCCATGAAGATCTGCAGTTTGAAAGGACACATTTGGAACATCTGAGAAGCACTGACATTCAACGAGATGAACCAAGCCAATTTTTCCAGAATTTCTCATCAGTGCCACGCCAAGCAATTCATACTGACCCCATAAGGAATGAACTAATCAGAGTCCAGACACAAGATATTTCATGTACTAAGCAACATGAGAAGAAGGTACTTATACTTCCTTTCATTGAAGCCTACATTCACTGTTGACTTTCTAATCATCAATTAACCATGATCCAAGTACCCAACTATTCGGTGCTGACTTAATTTTGTTTATTTCTCGATTTATTCTGTGAATCAATTAAACTCATTCAGCTACTTATTATGTTTCTGTTTTGGATACTCTGCATCTTTTTTGGTAGAAACTATTGCTTCAGTCAAGGTGTGAAGAAGAGATGGAGAAGGTAAGAAGGAAATATAATATGCTACTGCAGGATGCTGAGAAAGAGTATCTTCAAGAAAAAAATATACTTCTTAAAATAATTCAAAAGATTTGTTGGCATAAAGCTTTTGCGGAGGATGTTAGTTCGAATTTCTATGATCATCAAAAAGGTTCATCAACATCTTTCCAAGGTCTGAAACTTGAGCCACTAGGAAATTCTATTTTTATTGCAGTTTTAGCTTTTTCGTTGTTTTCTTCATTATGTGCATTGATAACAGAAGTTGTTTCTAGATGTTCTTTTCTGGATTTTAATATTTTATTTAGTTCTTTACATTTGTGGTAATACATAATAAAAAAATAGAGATCATTGAAAGCCTTATCAACTGAAAGTTAGATCTAAGTTGAATGCTGATGCGGCTTATGTGTCACTCATTAGCTTTACTGTTTTATCAGTCTACTGAAGAACTCCTTCCTCTTTTCCTTTTATGCTTTCCTTTTTAATTGGGTAAGTGCTACTAATGCAGCTAAACTGATGCGTCATTAAATTGATTAAACTCTAGAAATTGAAGGCCATAATATCTTTTTTTCATTGTTATTAACATTTTCAATCTGTCTTGTGTACCCTATTTACTGGATGTGAAGTTGCACATTGAAGCGTTAAGCTGTATGAGTAATGAATTAGCTCATTTTTTCCACCATTTATCGGGTCAAAATTTTGTAAATACTGCAGAATTCATGTATAGAGTTGTTAAAGAATCCATATATACTATATAATTTCTTTTGGCTGCATAATTTTTCTTTCTTGTCCTTAAATTCATTCTCTTCCATGGAGACGAAATTGGTAGTTCTTTTTTTTAGTAGAAAATATGTCATACAATGCAAGATGGCTTTCTGTAATTTTTTAGCCACAAGAATTAAGATCTCCATTGTATCAAATTTGAATAAAATCATAAACACTACTAACCCAATTTTTTAGGAGGATTTGCATGCACAATCCTTAAAACTCTGAATGGTCGACCAAGCATGGGAGTGTGAAATACAGCAAACAACCCCGCCCTCCCCCGACCATCTTTCTTCCCTTAATTTTATTTTTGTTTGCCACCCAAGGGAGGCCACTTTGTTGCCCAATGGGGAGGGGCCTCTCTTCATTTTCTATCTCCAACGGAGACTTGCAGAGATGAATGATGAAACCTATGGGGGACTTTCTCTCGATGGTGACATGGAAAATCGAAGAGGCAAAAGAGATGAGAATTTCTACTACTTCCATAAGGAGGATTTCAGTGATGAAGAAGAAAGACCGTGAATCTTTGAAATCCAATATCAAAGGAGGCCGGGAGAGGAGACCCCATATGGAAGAGATTAGGACTTCAAAATAAAGGTGGATCTACCATAGTTTGATGGAGGTATGGATTCAGACAACTTTCACGATTGGTTGTAGTTTGTTGAGCTAATCTTCAAGTATAAGAATGTGTCAGAGGATAAATAGGTTAAACTAGTAGCCATCAAGTTGAAGAACAATCCTTTGTGGTGGCAAAACCTACAAAGACAGAAAGAGAGAGGATGGTGATAAGATCACAAAGTGGGAGAAGATGATGAAGGAGATGCAGAGAAAATACCTGCCACCCCACTACCTTCAGGATATGTTTTCGAGGATCAATCATCTGCAGATTACAGCAACGAGATCGAACAGTGTAGGAGTTCATGACCCAATTTGATCAATTTCAGATGGAGTGCCAGCTGGTCAAGCCAAAGCAGCATACGATTGCCTGTTATTTGTAAGGCCTGAAACCTGTTATCAGTAACGTAATACAATTGCAACCCTATTGGTCACTTGGAGATGTCCAGACCCTAGTGTTGAAAATGGAAAGACAACATAAACATAGTAGACGACCCTTACAAGTTAGGCAACCATTCACAGTTGAAGACCAGCAGGAGCACACCTTTGAGAGTTGAGAAAATTGGTTGGAATAAGGACAGAGACACCTTCAATGAGATGAAGCCTGAGAAGAGTAGAATGCCTACTAAAGTCCTTGCCAGAAAATGCTTCAGATGTCACTGATTTGAGCACTTCGCCTCTAGCTGAGTTGTTTCTTTTACCGAGCAAGACGCCATGAAGGAGGTTAGCGACAAGAAGACAACGGAGGAACAGGTTGAGGTACATCATCTTCCACCTGATGAGGGTGAGATGCTCGTGGTTTGATGGGTCCTACAAACTGATGATACGAGGGCTTTGCAGTGATTTTGTCACAATATATTCTACATCTGTTACATCGTGATTGAGAAGGTATGCAGTCTCATCATCGATGGAGGGAGCAGTAGAAACGTGACGTCTACATTGATGTGGAGAAGTTGAGCCTCATGACTAAGTGGCATTCATAGCCATATTTTTTTATGTGGCTGAAGAAGGAGAACAGGGTTAACATCGACCGGAGGTGCTTAGTGGAGTTTTCGATTGGGAGCCAGCTGCAGGATCATGTGTTGTGTGACGTGGTCTTCGTGGATGCTTGTATCCTTTTGTTTGGGAGACCGTGACAATTTGACTGTATGACTTGGCACTACGGATTCAGAAACATATATTCCTTTACTAAGGATAGGAAGCACATAGTTCTCCCTTCAGTGGTGCATGAGATCACTAGCGTCCTTGCCAGCTAAGCAACATCAGTAGGACCAATTTTGGTGATGATAAAAGAGGATACGACCGAGACACAGGCTCCAGATATGAGATAATCACGACATAGATCATTTCAGGAAATCATGGTCGATATCTTACCACCATGGCCACCGCCGTTTGGAGAGGTTTAGGCTACTCTCATGTCAGCTTTGGTTGAGCTGACCGTGGATTAATTTGGCAGTATTCAACAACATAGGCTAAACACGCAGACTCTGTTCATTTCTGTAGTGGACCCCAGAAGAGTGGATTGATACGGTCGTATGCTTGCAAGTGGAGAAAACACTTGTGTTTTGGGAGACTGTGCGGTCGCCAGTGGGATCCGAGTGGTACTAGGGCCGCAGTCGAAGATCCTTCAGCACCGGGAGATTACAACAACTCTGTCACCGTCAACGCGTCGATAGAAGCTTGAACTATTGAGACCGAAGCTCCCCCAACCATTGGAGATTGATGTGGGGCGTGACTCTTGAATTTATTGGTTCTAGTGGGACCGGCCGACCAAGCATGGGAGTAGCAGATACCGTTTGCTCCCCTCATACCTTTCCTTTTCTATTTGTTCTCCGAGGGAGGCTGCTTTGTCGCCCAAGATTGAGGGGCCTCCTCTCCTATTCTATCTTTCATTATATATTTGTTGTTTGCTTGCTCAAGGCTCAGTTTTGGTTGTGATTTCTGTTTGGGCAGCTTTCGTCATCCCTCTTTTTTGTTTCTGGGGTTGTATCCGACTGCAAGAAAGTGCTTCGGTTGTAACTCGTCCCAAGTTTGTGTGTATCTTCCCCTTTTCCTGCTTGATTTCCCTTTTCTGCGGCCGCTTATATCCACATCAACCTCCCAGATTGTTGTCGATCAGCCCACCAACATCCCAGCTGCTATTGACCAGCCCTCTGATATCCCTCAGCCACCAGCCCTTTCCGGTCAACCCAACTGCTGCCGCCACCTCTAAATCTCCAATCAACTTCCGCCAGTTTTCAACCCTGCCCTCCTGCGGCCGCCCAACACCCACCCCCCACCTCCTTAACAACTACCTCTTCATCCTACACCTATCTATTGTCCAGCCATCCTCCACCCTGTCGCCGTCGCCTCAAGTTATCTTTTACATTGTTATAACGTATTTCTTGTTTTGAAGAATCTTTATTGTAATCTATTTAAATTTCAACAATAATAAATTTTTCTTGTTTGGGTTAACTCCGGTATCACACAAATTGAACGCCTAAAACTCACTCATTATATAGTTACCTATATAGCACATAAAAGTTATCTACAACCTCAAAATTAACTCTTCCTTTGCCAGTCCAACTAAATCTCGCAAAAAGTGCCAGCTCCACCAAATTTTGTCTTGGTATTTGCAGTGCTTTCCACCATTGCTCTTATAATCCTGTTGTTAGGGGGTTATGATAGTGAGAGTTCTTGCTATCCGCGGATAAGTTTCAAGCCACTGTGTTTCGCTACCATATTTCTGAGATTCTGGAATTCCTCAAGCTAATACTATTTTTGCGTCCAATCCTTTCATTACAGTTTTTTAGGCTTCCATCCATAAGGTGTCGGTGAACAAGGTTAAATTTAACATTTTTTATTATTTGGCAGAATATGGTGCCAAGTTGTTGATATCGGAGGAGAAGAAGAAGCCCAAATCACAAATAAAATGATAATATTATTGCTGAACTTTAACAGGGTTACAAACACCAACTCTTGACTATAGAAAAATTACAGCAATACAAACACGGGAGATCTTAGGGTGCCGGTGAGGGTGGTGGACAGCGCCTGGGCAGAGGTTCGGAAACTTGGGAATGGTTGCAGTAATGATTGTGGGAGTTGTGGAAAGGTTGCTGCAGGGTTTGGACAGAGTGGGGAGGCTTATGACAGGAACTGGAAGGACTGAAGATTGTTGTTAGAAGGGCTGCAGGAAAATCAGTTAAGGGAAGGAATGGCCAGGCTGGGTTCATGGGAGGGGAAGGAAGAGTTAGTGTGCGGTTCATGGGAGGGGGACAAAGCGCAAAGAGTACCAGGTTAACGGGTTGTGAACGGCATAGAGGGACTATGAAGTATTTGGGGTTATGGTATGGTGGAGAAGAGGAGCAGGCGACTGGGATCAGACGAGGGGAGGACGGCAGCAGGTGGGCAGGATAGAGTCAGCGGGGAAACGTGGTTGGGATTGGAGCCAAGTAGTATACGGCCGGCAAGGAGGCAGCCAGGAATGGACGTCTGTAGGCTGGAAGTTGCGGGGAAGAGTGATTGGCGACAAGGAAGGGAGGTGGAGGTGGAAGTCAGAGAAGATCAATCACCACCGGGGAGAGGGATACAACCGGAGCACTATTCTAACCGTCAGATATAGCCCTCAATGGGAAAATAGGACGTTGACGGCTGTCCACACAAATCTGCAATCAGAAATAATATAAACTGAAAACCTAGACAGCAAACACACTTATAAACAGGAGATTGATAGGTGGAAAACGAAAACAGAAAGGGGGAAATTTGCCACCTAATGAAAAGAGGGGAGGGGCCTGTTCAGCCCCTTCTCTCGATTGA